AAAATAAACCTGTTCTCCTACTTTTTTATCGTCTTCCCTCCTGTTCCAGGTCCAAGGTGAGAACCTCACCCCTAACATCAATTACTCATCTCAAATGATCAATCCAATCAATGCTACCACACCCTCTCCAGAAAGCAGCATGTCTTGTCAAATGCAGTTGCGTCACAGTCCCGATCTGCAGTATCATGACTAATTCATCTGTCGTCTTTCACTCAGCTAAATAACGCTGGCCTCTGACCCCACAGCGTTTCTTTCTGACAAGGGATCGGTTACGCACGCAGGGTTCGGTAAAGTGATACGCGGTCCAGCTAATGCTGGGAAGGAAGCTAATATCCGAGGACATGCATTTTCAGGCCAGTCAGAATGGAGGTGTGGTTTAACGCAGGAATCACCAGTGCGATGTGCAGTGTTAATTGATCTTTGACCCAGGCAGGAGCGCAGTATCACCCGGCCGTAAGTCAGTGATCGAATTTACTGATTGGCTTTTAATGAAACCACAGATGGTCATCGATCCTAATCAAAGCAGCTTCAGTTACTGCTACAGATATGCAGTTAGCGCACCGGCACACACCTGATGCTTCTCTTTGTTCCCCGGCAGATTTCAGCGCTCTTAAACTGGTATGTAATTGGTGATGACAGCCACCTGTCATCTGCCAGTGTCTTATCAACAGTCAGTCAGATTGCACTTATTCACCGAAGGGTTGGCCATTTACGACATTGTGCACCTTCATGCATATTTAAAAAGAAAACTGGCAGGCTCAGTGGAACTGACACTAGGTCTCAATGACACGATCCAAAAATCGGCCCACAGAATTAAACGTGTTCTGAGGCTGATGATGTCACGGTGGAACGTTTTAGTCCTGCAGTTGTCCTCTTCTTGTGAAGAAATCAGCAATGAACAGAGAACTTTAAAAAACTAGACTTTTATTTCCCGAAGAACGAACACAGACCAATACTTGGTTCAGGAAGTATTTTCCATTCGTTTTCTTTTCTCTACAGGGGGTTTCAGAAGATCATTCAGTCTAGAGTTCTGAGCTGTGAACCAAACCAACCAGCTCTGGGATGAATTAGAACATTGAAAACTTTGATTTGAAGCAAAAAAAGTATTTGATAATCTGAGAAAGGAACCGTACTGTGTGCTTTGTCTTTTATTTGGCATTTAACTATTCCATGGAGCATTGCAAAACATGTAATTGAATCAATTGGTACAGTACAAGCAATGACATCTATTCAGTCAAAATACAGTATATTAGAAGGTTATTGCAGAATATTTTCATTTATATGTTGTAGTTTGAATGAACAGAGAAGCTGACTTTATGGGAAGGACAATCGCTGCTGAGTTCTTTTGGTGTGGTTCTCTTCTCATTTCCATTGTGTATTTCGAAGTGTGTGTGCTTATGTATGTATGAGCGTGTACACTGTTATATGAATATTGATACACTATAGTTTTGGTTAATTATAATAACCCTGTTATATAATTATAACTACAATAACAGAAGCATGTACTTACTTTATACTTTAAGCATATTTCTCATCGATAAACCTTGGTGCTCTTGCTTGAAAATTTGGTGTCATTGTTAGTGAGTTTGCATTATTTAAAAGTTTTTAAGTGCTATTCCTTTCTTTATATGTCAGACTGTTTTAATGAGGAAAAACTTACTTAGTGCACCTTTACCTTCAAACCTCAAACCAGAATGTTTGAGGAATTGCCTTTCAAGCGCTGCATAAAAGAGTTTGGAGAGGAGAGGTGCCCTTTTGTGGTGTACTGCAAGAAACATATCCCACTTACATAGTGTCACAGCCTCTCAATGTGGCATGATACATTTGGCGAATTTGAATATGCTAATTTTTAACAATGCAATTAGTTGCCAAGGTGACAGAATAAGACTGAAGGAAGACTGCTGTGTTGTGCTCTCAGAAGCGGCAGTATATTAGAAACATTTGTCTCTCTCTTTGATCTTCTACCTCTGCTCGACACATTAACCGTGAAGGAAACGGGGGCAGAGGAGCGTTCTCCGTCTTCCGTTTTCCTTAAAGACAATTTCTCTTGACATGTGGAATCATTACCATGACTCCGATACCCAGGGTCTCAAACACTGGGGTTAATCAATATATGTCTCCATGGTGATTTTAACAGCAGGGACCTCAGCTGAAACCTTCTCATTCGTCTTATTACGCCGGCCATCATCTGTAATCAATGATGGCCTGTATCATTCACACATTCTTTGATGTGTCTGCGTCCACAGGCGTTCGTCTGCACGTGTGTGTGGTGTGTGTTTAAAGTAGTCAAAGGTACAGCAGATGCCCCTTTAATGGATTCTCATCGATCGGAACGTAAAACGTTCCAGCTTCACCCCACACGCCGGCACCTGATGTCCTTGATCTGTGTCTTTCTTTCTCCTCGTTCTCAACCTGTCTCCCTCTCTTTCAGCTCACCTCTAATCATCCTACTTGCTGGATTCCCTCACTCAGGAAGAATGTGCGTCAGTGTCTCTGTACCCGTGTGTTTTTTGTCTTTCTGCTTCTATATTGACTACATTAAGCGGAAGTTGTTGATGTAGAGGAATTATTGGGCTTTATGAAGTAACATTGAGGACACATAAAAAAGGCAGTGAAGGGTGTATACAGATTTCCGACGTACGTTAGAATTTATATAAAACAAACTCAACTTGAGAATGTCCATGCAGCCGACTTACTGGTATGTCTACATTGTAGTGAAAAGATTGCTTAAAAAAAGGCACTTTTCAGTCAGAATCAAATGACTATTTGCTGCTAATAATTTTACATAATGTAACGGTGCAATTGACAGCATGTATGCTGCAAAAAAGGCTCTAGGTTAAAAATGTATTTACATCCGTGATCAGAAAGCTTCTCATTCCATTAAAGGTAGGGTAGGCAATTTCAGAGGCTAGCAATAGCAAGCTAGCTTTGAAAGCATAAGATCACGAGAGACTGCATTATATTTATCATTTAATTAATAATTTATCAGTCAAATTTGCGCTTTTCAGAGTACACATCGTTTCAAAGCAGCTTTATAGAAAATCGTGATATAAATGTTTTTATAATATCTTACTATCTTCGAGTATCTTTAGAGTCCCATTTAACAGATTCGATTTTTTTTTTTTTATCAAAGTACTTATGTTTGATGTCTTTGGGCCCTGTCTTACACTCGGCGCAATGCAGCGCCAAGCTCGACGCAAGTGTTTAGTTTCAGTCCGACACAGTTATCATTTTCACGTCCTGCGCCAGGGGTGGGGGAAAATCAATTCTTAGATGCAACGCGATGCGGACGTGGACGATTCTGAATCGATTCACAAATGTCAAAAATCGATTTTCTAAAAAAAGTTTTTCTTTTTCTTTTTTCTAATGACGTAATATTGACTGAACGCAAAAGGCGGAACTCTGAAGCGCGGAAGTGCAGAGCCCAGACAGTCTGTGGCTTGCACATAACAGAGACGCATGATGGCTGAGCGCGAAATCCGAACGGCACCCTCTTCGTTAAAAGCTAACATATGGAAAATTGGCATAATTTCATTGTGGCCTTTTTTCTATTTTTGTATGAGAGCTGCTTTCTGTATTTTTTTGTTTTCACATCAATATGCTGTAAACAGATCTGTTATACGTACGCTATACGTAGGTTTACACAGTGTGTATCAGTGCAATGCCAGTCACAAAAAGTTACAATTTGACTGCTCTCTGCAGATGTTCATTTACTTTTTTTGTATGAGCTGTTTTTGATTGTGGTATACAGCAACAATTTCAAGTCATAAGTCTTAGACTCTTTATTATTTGTGTATGAGATCAGCTTTGTATGTTACTAATTATTCAAAATATGCGTTAGTCCACGAGCATTATTTTTGTATGAAAGCTGCTGGTACATAATTCTATATTTTTGTATGAAAGCTGTTTGTGATTTTGCTACAGCAAAATGTTTATTTATTTTTTGTCTGAAGGATTATATTGCTCATTTTTACACCTGAGTGTAGGATGTTGGTTAGAAATCTGTTATTTTATGTTAGAGATTCAGAATATGCTGCAGTTTGTATTCATTTACTACAAGTATGCTGCTAGTACATCCTGTTGGTTCTTTGCAATGTTGGGACATATGCTGGCAAATGTAACCTTACAGTTGACTTGCCAAATCACTTCCATTTGTTTTATTAATAAAATATATTGGAAGTAAATTCTTTATAGGTCATTATAAATACTTTGCTTTAACAGTACCAAGTAGTCACACACAAAAAAAGATGCATCGATAATCGTTTTAGCATAGAGCCCTCTGAATCGTACCGAATCGAATCGTGAGGTGCCTAGAGATTCCCACCCCCATATCCTGCGCCACGTTGTTTAAATAGCAAATGCATTTTGCCCATTTGTGCGCCCATGGGCGTGCTGGTCTGAAAACGAGGTGTGTTCAGGCGCATTGTTGGCGTTCATTGAGAACTGAAATAGAACTGCGCCATTGACCAACTGAAACAGGGTCTAAAGTCAATGGCGCAATATTTTTTTGGTTATTTAAAGAGCGTATTAGTAATGTGCGCCTATAGGTGGGTCCACAACGTGCGTACACTGCTTATTAAACACACAGGAACGCACAGCAGCACACAATCATGCCAAATATTCAAAATAAAAGGATTACAATGTAAAAGATTATTATTGTGTACATAAAGATATGGTGGAATGAATCCGGCTTGTCCCGTAGATGGTCTGCTTGCACACTTTTACCTCGCGCACGAGCAGATCCGTTTGCGCTCTTGTGAAGTGAGAAGTAACAATGGTAACCAATTAAAACGTGGTTTCTCATACTAATCACCAATAACCAAATGTTTCATATGAGGCCCTGTGAGTCTGTGATGAAGGGAGAGAAAGTCTGTCTGTGTCCACCCTTTTAAAGATCATTCATGATGTTATTTTTTTTTTCTGTTCCTTTTCCTCTTCCAGGCTTGTGTGTGACTGAAAGCTAATCAATGGGACAAGGAGTCTCTTGAACACACAAGCACCTCCACTTTTTCCCCTCTCTGCCCTCTGTTCATTGATGTCCATGTCTGTGATCTCGACTGATAGAGAGAGACAGGAAGAAAGAAAGAGAAAGAGAGGGCATGAATGTGGCTTTTAATAATGCAACAAAGAGCAGCCACACCTGTGGTGTAGAGGCCGCAGCAGGATCAGAGCCACTCTCCAGTGTGTAAAAACCTCCTCCCTCATACTGACCTTCAGAAGCTCAGACTGTATATGCAAACACAGTCTGCTGATACTAAAGTAACCTATTTGTGAATATACATACAAACATAAGTAACACGTCACAGGGTTGTCAGTTGTCATGGTACAAAATTTTAGTAGTCACGGTACCAGATTTTGTGTATCAGTGGCACTGAATATATCCAGTACTACTAGTACTGCAGAAATGCTGCCATACTATGAACGTATATGTTTGACAACCCTATGTCACAGTAAAGTCCACTATATTAACATTAGATTTGAACTAACAATGAACAATATATATGTACAACCATTGTATTTCACAGTGTATTAACAGCAGGGTGCCCATGGATCATTGTAAATGTAAAAAAAATGCCTTAATTAGCATTAAAATATCTTAAATCCACAATAAAAATACAAAAAGCTTCTTGTACATTTATAACATGATACATTGTGCTATATTTCCCTGGCATTAAACTACATAAAGTGAAGACTGCCGTGAGGGGGTTTCCTAATGTAACGTGGTGCGGTGAAGGCAGATAGGAGGCTGGATCCAAACGCAGTTTACACGCTTTATTTAAATAGACTCAAACAGAAACTCAGAACGCGGAACAAGAATCTTAACACTGGGAAACCAACACTCACGTTAATCCTGAAACATATAACAACTCACAAAGACAGGGCAGAAACACAGGGCTTAAATAATCAAGTACAAACGAGCTAACAGGATGACAAGGGGGCATGGTAAATGGGAAACACCTGGGAAAACTAATGACAAGACAGGGAACCACTAAACATGACAGGACACAAGACCCACATTATGGGCAGGGCGAACTTGACTTGGAACTTGACTTGGAACTTGACTTGGAACTTGACTTGGAACTTGACTTGGAACTTGACTTGGAACTTGACTTGGAACTTGACTTGGAACTTGACTTGGAACTTGACTTGGAACTTGACTTGGAACTTGACTTGGAACTTGACTTGGAACTTGACTTGGAACTTGACTTGGAACTTGACTTGGAACTTGACTTGGAACTTGACTTGGAACTTGACTTGGAACTTGACTCAGCGGCACTTGACTCGTTCGCGCCGGCTGGCACGCGTTCAAACTCCGGTTCGGCTGGCGAAACCTCCGCCGCGGTTTCTGGATTAGCAAAATCAACAGGACCAGTGCGGAATACGGGCTCGAGGGGTCCGACACGAAGAGTGGGTTTGGCGGAGCAGACGTGCAGCGCGGGTTCGGCTGAGCAGACGTGAAGCGTGGGCTTTAGGAGCGCGGGTTCGGCTGAGCTGAAGTGAAGCGCGGTCTCTCGCCGCTTCTTCTCCTCCACGCCCACAGTAAATGATGAACCGCTCCTGAAGAGGGCCAGGTTGACATACCCCTCCAGGGTCCAGCTGGTACAGTCATCCGGCATTAACTGGGCAACGTCCTCGTCCAACCCGCTCCAAAACAAGTCCATGAGCTCGAGGTCGTCTAAAGCCCCCAGACGACAGCACGACATAAAATCCCTCACGTACCTCTCGATGGACTGGCCTTCCTGAAATATCGAGGCAAGGAAACTTCTGAGGGCCTGGTTGCTGACAACTGTGGGAGAGACTGCTGGAGCGACTGCTGGATCCATTTTGTGGTGAGTTGTTCTGTAACGTGGTGCGGTGAATGCAGATAGGAGGCTGGATCCAAACGCAGTTTACACGCTTTATTTAAATAGACTCAAACAGAAACTCAGAACGCGGAACAAGAATCTTAACACTGGGAAACCAACACTCACGTTAATCCTGAAACATATAACAACTCACAAAGACAGGGCAGAAACACAGGGCTTAAATAATCAAGTACAAACGAGCTAACAGGATGACAAGGGGGCGTGGTAAATGGGAAACACCTGGGAAAACTAATGACAAGACAGGGAACCACTAAACATGACAGGACACAAGACCCACATTATGGGCAGGGCGAACTTGACTTGGAACTTGACTTGGAACTTGACTTGGAACTTGACTTGGAACTTGACTCAGCGGCACTTGACTCAGCGGCACTTGACTCAGCGGCACTTGACTCAGCGGCACTTGACTCAGCGGCACTTGACTCAGCGGCACTTGACTCAGCGGCACTTGACTCAGCGGCACTTGACTCAGCGGCACTTGACTCAGCGGCACTTGACTCAGCGGCACTTGACTCAGCGGCACTTGACTCAGCGGCACTTGACTCAGCGGCACTTGACTCAGCGGCACTTGACTCGTTCGCGCCGGCTGGCACGCGTTCAAACTCCGGTTCGGCTGGTGAAACCTCCGCCGCGGTTTCTGGATTAGCAAAATCAACAGGACCAGTGCGGAATACGGGCTCGAGGGGTCCGACACGAAGAGTGGGTTTGGCGGAGCAGACGTGCAGCGCGGGTTCGGCTGAGCAGACGTGAAGCGTGGGCTTTAGGAGCGCGGGTTCGGCTGAGCTGAAGTGAAGCGCGGTCTCTCGCCGCTTCTTCTCCTCCACGCCCACAGTAAATGATGAACCGCTCCTGAAGAGGGCCAGGTTGACATACCCCTCCAGGGTCCAGGTGGTACAGTCATCCGGCATTAACTGGGCAACGTCCTCGTCCAACCCGCTCCAAAACAAGTCCATGAGCTCGAGGTCGTCTAAAGCCCCCAGACGACAGCACGACATAAAATCCCTCACGTACCTCTCGATGGACTGGCCTTCCTGAAATATCGAGGCAAGGAAACTTCTGAGGGCCTGGTTGCTGACAACTGTGGGAGAGACTGCTGGAGCGACTGCTGGATCCATTTTGTGGTGAGTTGTTCTGTAACGTGGTGCGGTGAATGCAGATAGGAGGCTGGATCCAAACGCAGTTTACACGCTTTATTTAAATAGACTCAAACAGAAACTCAGAACGCGGAACAAGAATCTTAACACTGGGAAACCAACACTCACGTTAATCCTGAAACATATAACAACTCACAAAGACAGGGCAGAAACACAGGGCTTAAATAATCAAGTACAAACGAGCTAACAGGATGACAAGGGGGCGTGGTAAATGGGAAACACCTGGGAAAACTAATGACAAGACAGGGAACCACTAAACATGACAGGACACAAGACCCACATTATGACACCTAATACTGCTGCTGAGGGAGTGATGGTAAATTTTGACTGCCATTATCCATCACATTTTACAAAAGATTTATATTTCAAATAAATGCTGGTCTTTTGAACTTTCTTTTCATCCTGGAAAGAAATGTATCAGGGTTTACATACAAATATTAACCAGCACAACATTGCTAATAATAAAAAATGTTTTTAAGCACCAAATCAGTATCACACGATTATATTACATTTTTTAAATATATTAGAACTGTTATTTTAAATTGTAATAATAATTCACAATATTACAGTTTTTACTGTATTTTTGATCAAATAAATGGAGCTTTGGTGAGCATAAAAAAACTTCTGAAGTGTAGTGTATTCAAGATGATGCATATTTTATGAAATTTTAACACTGCAAAAATAATGACGTTTGGTAACACTAGTGGCTCAGAAATGATTCTGCTCTCGTATTGAAATTATTCTAGACTTAATTAGTCATCATAATCAAACTGTAGATTTGGATGACTGGGATGTGACCCAGACGGTTTTGTGTTTTGTGTTAGATGTAATCTGACCAAATATATAGCGCCATTAACATTCTATCAGTCCTCTGACTTCAGCTCTTCACACTATTCTGCACAGTTGATCTCATCTGCAATGTTCTAGTATGAGAATGTGAGTGTGATTAAAACACACACACACACACACACACACACACGTTTGTATCACTATATTAGTGAGGACATTGCTTAGACTTCCATTGATTTTATGTCAGGTTAAAGGGTTAGTTCACCCAAAAATGAAAATGAAGTCATTAATTACTCACCCTCATGTTGTTCCAACCCAGTAAGACCTTCGTTCATCTTCGGAACACAAATGAAGATATTTTTTATTAAATTTGAGAGCTGGATCACTGCTACATAGGCTTCCTAAGGGAGTGAAACTTGACGGCCCAGAAAGTCATTGAAGAAAATGTTTAAATATTCCATGTGACTACAGTGGCTCAACAATAAGTTTATCAAGCGACGAGAATACTTATTGTGCGGGAAAACAAACAAAAATAACGACTTTATTCGACTATTCCTTTTCTTCCTTGTGGGCCTGAGACGAGAGTTCAAGAGATTTCCACGACACATGCGCGAGAACTGAACAAGAAGTAGTAGAAGAACTTCCTCTTCTCAGTTCTCGCGCATGCATCGTGGAAATCTCTTGAACTCTCGTCTCAGGCCCACAAGGAAGAAAAGGAATAGTCGAATAAAGTCGTTATTTTTGTTTTGTTTTTCGCACAAAAAGTATTCTCGTCGCCTGATAAACTTATAGTTGAGCCACTGTAGTCACATGGAATATTTAAACATTTTCTTCAATGACTTTCTGGGCTTTCACTCCCTTAGGAAGCCTATGTAGCAGTGATCCAGCTCTCAAATTTAATAAAAAATATCTTCATTTGTGTTCCGAAGATGAACGAAGGTCTTACGGGGTTGGAACAACATGAGGGTGATTAATTAATGACTTAATTTTCATTTTTGGGTGAACTATCCCTTTAATGATATTTTCTATGGCCTAACCCAACTAAACCTACCTATCACAGAAACTTGTGCAAAACACTAGATTTAAATAAAAACATGTTTTTGACCGATTTATAAGTCATCTTAACTAGTGAGGAGGACCAGTAAAATGTCCTCACCAGTTGGTTGTCATAATATTTCACTATATAAGTGAGGATATTTGGCCCTCACAAGTATAGCAATATACACAAACACCATCTTGTTGTATGATGGTAGGGACTTCCCATTGATTTATTTTGTTTTTATATTAAGCTAATTATTTTTGCTAAACCTTTCAGCTACAGTAGCCCCACAGAAACACATCATGGCATTTTTAGATTTTAATTAAGACATTATTTAATCCCTTTATTAAAGCCAATAAGAAATGGCATTTACAAAAGATTGTTTTTGTAATGTGACAATAACAACAAGAGTGAAATTTAGTGAGTATAAATGTAGGACAGTACTTAATTTGATCTTGTAAAGTCTCTATATATTATGGTTGTGATTTTAGCTAAAAAGAAAACTTTCTACTAAAGTTACAATTTGATTTTTTTTTTTCTGTTCAACCAGTTATGATGATGAATCGTTCACAATAATACCAGTAATGTGTATTAAGAAAGTGCAGTGAATAAGGCTTTATTTCATTGGCCCCCCAGTGTAGATGATTTCAGGTTTTACTATCATTTTGAGGGCATTTGGTTCCCACAAAGACCACAAAATCTGACATAAACACATATAATGTAACACATTGTACTAAGTGACAGCCTAAGACTTAAACGATAAGCAATATACCTGGAAATCACAAAAATACACACAACCTGAGAGATATTGAGAGGACAGGTCTGTAATTAAACAGCAACTTCCTGTCAAAACATTTCAGCATCACGGCTTGAAACCCACCAGAGTGAATGCGTGAGTGTGTATGTCCTGTCTGGTGTGGTGCATTCAGACAGGTGTCAGTGTGTCCTCTCTTTCTCGCTTTCTTTCTGTCTGGATATTGACCGTCTTTCTATGGAAAGTGCAGCGAGCAGTAAATAATTCAGCCACTGCCATCTCTGAGAATCAGGGCATACATACAGGAAACATCAAAAGATGAGAGTGAGACAGCAATTTCATGTCAATTTTCTTTTGAAAAGTGCTAGTTATCTCACTTTTCCTGTTACGTTGTGAAATGAAACTCAAAACTCCACTTATCAATGTTTTCGAAGTTTAAAAACAAAAGTTATTGGAGTACATTTTACAAGAAAATACTATTTCAGTCTTTCTACTTCCAAATTTCACATTTATTTCAATGTGTTGCTGTTTTTTTTTTGTGTAATTATTTGTTATAATTTACTGAGTGAAAATTGTTTCCCAGATCCAGGGTCATCCTGGAACTTTAATTACGTAATTAAACTGTTATCTGATTAGTGTCACATATTTATGGGTGAATTTAAATTATTATTATAAAAAAAAAAAATTAAGAATTGTATATGTAGCCTACTTAACTGATTCACTACCTATTTTTTTAAGAAATAATAATAGAACATTAAGTATTTAACAATTGAAACTTTATTAAGATAATTGTTTATTTACATAATTTAAGTAGTGTCACATTTAGTGGCGAATTTTGCCACTTTTATGTAAAATTAATTAATTTATATATACCAATATTATGAATCATATTTGTATTTAAACTGATTTACTGCCCTTTCTTCTAAGAAATAATAATAAAACATATAAATATAAAAAAAAAAAAATCTTTCTTTTAATAATGTTTTTTCTTCAGTTGAGACTTTATGGCCCAGCATCTTATTCTTATATCTAAGTAACCATAATCCATGTTTAATCCTATCTGTGCTGGTATATTGCTGCTCCAAATTAAGTCTGTCATATAATTCCTTTGAATCATGTGCTAAATTATCACAAACGGCATGTGGAAACGAACAACACTATCAGTGGGAGCAGTTCATTCATAGTGAATTCCCCCTAATGTCCTCCTATAGCACTAGAGAGC